TATGGGACTTTGGCAGTTTGTTTGCTTGATTTCCCTGGATTACTGACCTCGGCTTGTCCTGACTATGCTTTGTTAGCTGCCTGTATCGACCCATTGGCTTGTTTTACCAACTACTCTAACTTCTGGATTCCCGTGACCTTGGCCTGTCCCTGTTTATGCTAGCCATTCTAAAGTGGCTACACCAAACAACTCAAAATACTACAATTGTAGTATTTGAAATGTGCCTTCACAAAACAAAAGCGAAAAACTAATCACAGGGTTAATGCTGCGATTAGCACTGAAAGGGTTAATAAAATTGCAGGTTTGTTTTCCTTAATGTCTCAGCTTTTCACACAGTAACTCTCTATGTGAGATAAAACATCTCTCTGCCTCCAGATCAAAGTGTATGTGGGGGTACTGTTCTATTCCTGTGATATAATAAAAACCTTGAAGCATTGTACATGTGGGTATTGTTCTATTCAGAAGACTGTGTTAAATCAAAATACTGAGGTTTTAGTGCACTAACTAATACCAGAATTATGACATTTCTAGTGAAAATGCAATTTATGTGATTAAAAAGACAAAACTAAAAGTAGGTATCGCTACATGGGCCCAGCATTTCTGTTAAAATGGCTAGACAAAACATCTTAAGGTCTGCATTTTGTTGTACTCTGGCTTGCCTACTTTTGAAAATGGTATGCCATAACGGTGGAAATGTTATTACCCAGGCTGCCATGCTCTCTGAATAGCCACATAGGTCCAGAAAATCACTTTGCCAAACTTCCAACTTTGAAATCTAATATTTTGTCACATTGACTACCCTCCAAAAAACAGAAAATCTGGTACATGGGGGTACTGTTATATTCAGGAGACAATGTTAAAATAAAATAGTGAGGCTTTGTTGCAATAACTCATACCAGGAATAGGAAATGTCCTGTGAAAAGTGATTTAATGTGTGGGGAAAAAAGCACAAATCTATTACCGCTATGTGGGCCCTTCATTTCTGATAAAGTGGTTAGACCAAACATCTTAAAATGCACCATTTGAAATACTCTGGGTTGTCTACTTTTGAAAATGGTATGCCATAATAGTGAAAATAATTTTACCCAGGCTGCCATGCTCTCTCAAAGGCAAGATAGGCCCAGAAAATCGCTTTGCCAATTTTCAATGTTTTAGACCGAAAATGGACAGGCGTATGTAAGACCCTAGAACTTTCAAAAAACCCATAAAACCTATACATGGGGGTTACTGTGGCGCTCGTGAGACGTCAATGAACAGAACTAGGAGTGTTTCAGGGCAGTAAACTACATACTGACAATACAATTATCAGTAAAATTACAGTTTTTATGTGAAAAATGCAAAATATCCCACAAACCCTAACTTTGGCTAGCGTTTATGCCCAAGTGGCTACTACAAAAGACTGGGCATACCCCATTTTGAATACCCTGGGATGTGTACTTTTTCAAATGGTATGCCATGATGGCGTAACTTACATTTGTTGGCTGCCATACAGTCTCAAAGGCAACCTAAGCCCAGCAAACCAATCTGTGAAATTTCTATGTAAAAAAAGAAATAAATAGACAAATCGTATATTTGACCCTGTAACTTTCAAAAACACCATAAAACCTATACAAGGGGGGCACTGTTTTACTCATGAGACATTTCTGAATACAAATATGTATGTTTTATTGCAGTAAAACCAAACCGTATTGTGACATTATCCGTTAAATTGACATGCAGAAATTGAAAAATATCAAAATTTCTTAAATTTTTTTTAAACTTTTTTTTTTTTTGGGGTTTTATTCATATAAAATTGAGTTCTATAAATGAATGTTGATATGGAATGAAAGCCCCGTTTCCCCTGAACAAACTGATATATAATAAGTGTGGGCGCACTTAGTAAGAAAGAGCTAAATTGTAGTTGAACAGTGTAACGGACCGTTTTGCTCACAAGGGGTAAAAACCGTTTAGGCGATCGTCCCCCTTTCCAGAGATGCAGGCACAGCTACTGCAAAACACCAAACTCCCGAACAGGATACCAAGTAGCACTCCAAATTCCCGAACTGGAACCTCACGGATAGCTGCTAGCAGCTGAACAGGAAAAGCACCCAAGCAGCTTACACTCCTGGCAATCAGTCTCTAACAGCATACAGTAAATCCCCCCCCCCCAAGAACGAGACTAAGCTCCGTGTTGAGGGTCAAGCAGTGAACAGACAGAGCTGTGGGTTTATTGTGCTTATGTACACATTCTTACACATTAGTACCACCCACAGGGTTTTGGAACACAACCAATAAACACATACAATATAAACAGACACTCCCACACAAATTCCTCCCCTCTGCATGTGATTTAATTACCTTACACAATGGGTAATGTAATTTAGCACATGCAGAGAAATACAATTTTTCCACATTATTCATAACTTGAAAAGTATGCATCACATTCACATAAAACTTACATTTTCAGAATCAGCATATTCCAAATACAAACATACGTCATACAAACTGGTCCAGTGGTTCAAAAGATAGATCGTAGTCCTTTGTGACCACAGGAAGCATGGCTTTTCTGCCCAAAACCAGTTCCACAGAGTCTTCTATCCTGGAGATAATTAGAAGTAATCCAATTATCTCCAAAGACACAGGCAAAACTCCATTGAACACATGGCAGCAAAAGACAATAAAACACATAAAAACATATAACTGTGCAGCCATTGCACAAAACAGGTACATTCAACATATCCCCAGATAGCTCAGATCTGAGCGCACATTATTACTGAATGGCGCTCAGAGCACACACATGCAGTTCAATTGCCATGGAGCCAAAGTCTTTCCCATAGTCTTCCATTATACGAATGGGTTCCATGGCATAGCTATCTGAGGTATCACTGCTCAAACAGGGCAAGCACCAAATGACCCGGCTTTCTTGTCTTTGCAGGGGAAAATCAAGCCTTTTAACATGGGGCCATAAACCAAAGGCAACAGGCGAGCAACCAGGCTTCTCCAATGCAATGTGGCGAGATTGGTCTCGTCACAAACCGACAGAGTCAAATTATGTGGTTTGTTTACATTTTGTTTTGATCACAACTTGTACATTTGGCTCCGTCCTTAAGGGGTTAATCATGTGCAAGAACACACGCATGAAGGTGCAGAACATGATCACATCGACCATGTACATAAGTGCAACGTGAGCGCATAATTGTGTGAATAAAAGTGCAATATGCAATCACAGAACATATTAAAGCACATAATCATGTGCATAAGACTGCAAAATGTGATCACCATGATCGTGTGCATATGTGAGCAATGCCACATACATAAAGTGTAATTATATATTCAACCTACCCGAGAGCATAATAAAAGCCACTATGTGCAATTTACCAATCAATAAAGCCTAATGTATCTCCTGCAGACAAACCAGTATGACTAAAACTTAGTAAACTATCGTTTATAGATTGAGTTAAAAAGCATTCATCACTACAGAGGAAACAAAACGATGTACAAGTTGTGGAGAATATTGCAACACAGCTTCTCTCAAGGGAAAAGACGTCTCCAACGGCATACACCTCTCTGATATCCTGGGTGGCCATTACAGCAGTTGGCCTCTGCCCACTCCTGATGCCCCAGAAATGGATAAGTGTGGAGGCGTGGGCCTCCAGGCAGAGGGCAGGTGGCCGCTGCCCACCCTAAGAACTGACGAGCCTTGAGACTAGGGCTCCGGGCAGGTAGACTCTGCCCAGCCTCGCTGCCTAAACCGGGCCCTGGCAGCCGCGCAGGACCCACGGAGCAAGTAGGTGCAGTGGTGCGGGCCTCCAAGCCAGGTGCAGACAGTGCTGCTTCCCAGCAGCTGAGTAAGATCTAGGGGGAGAGCACTATTGGCTCTCCTCCCCAGAAGCCAGCCACTTCTCCAGGGAGATCCAGGAGGCAGAGCTGCGACCGACTCAGTGGACAACTCCTATCATCCTCTGCTAGTGGGGAAAACCAGCAGACACCAGTGATGGAGTGGTTGGGGGGGGGGGCACAACTGTTTGGGTGGGGGTGTTACGGGCTCAGGAAGCCATGGGGGCACCTTTGGTGGGGGATTGCACAGGTACAAAGCCTCCTGTGGGCCAGAGCCTGGGATGGATGGCCTCCCAGGGAGGGTGCAGGGTGCAATGCCGATCAGGCCCAGGACTCAAGGGGAGCTGGTCGGGGACAAGTACTGTTGGGGAGCGGGGGCATGGTACTAAAAGACTATGTGTCCACTCCGGGCAGCAGCAAGATGACCTGTGTGAGTCATGCTGCGGCTGCCGGGAGTGGACTGCCACTAGAGGTGATCCTAGGCAGTGTATTTTCTCTGAAAATACAGTTTTTTTACATGAAAAAGCCGGCAGGGATCTATTGTACTCAGGCAGACATCTTTTATTGTCGAATGCCCAGCGGGACCTGGTCGTCAAACGCCTGGTACTCTTTTCGGACACAATTCTGCACGAACCCCACTGTTCGTGTATAAAATACCGAAGTGCATGCCGTTTGACACCTTGTACTTACGAAGGATATACCGACCCATTGCAGGACACTATGGCCTAGGATACATGGGCTGCTACTTGTCGAACAGCCCAACAGACAAATTTCAACCCCATCCCCATAGCGTTCAGATAAACCAGTTCTTCTTACCCTCGACTCGTGTTGTAGGGAAAGGCATTATACTAGCTTTACTTATAGCTAGTGGGATATCTACACTTACAGGACTATCACTGGATGCTGTTTGGAGCTTTGCTCTTACTCTCCAAGATCGGGAACCAGGACATCTAAGTGGTCCAACCTTCAGCTAGCCTGGAGTCAACCGTAACATTTGGTGGCAGCGGTGGGATGGGATTGAGCTCCTAGGAAAGACCCAGAGCGAATAGAGAACGCTTATGACAAATTGAAGCACACCATGTTAAAGGACTTACTAGAGAGCCGAGGTGGAACTGCCAGCCATCGACCTGATTGCGGAGCTAACAAAACTGGACCAGAGCTTCACCATAGCAGAAACCCCGGTGATGGCTGGTGATGAGAAGACCAAGATTGTCCGGGAGAGACTCTTCCTATATGGGCCAAACCCTTCTCCGGAGCTGGTCCAACAGCTAATGGCTGAGGCGGATGCTGATATCCAGGCAGCCAGAGCACACAAACTCAGCCTGATTACAGCTCAGCGTGCCACTGGACCAACAACAACGATTACCCCTTCAGAGATCACAGGGAAACGAAAGATAGCGTTCGCGGCTTTCAAGTCCTTCCTGGAGAGCGAAGTGGGGATCAATGAGTTCTTGGACAACTTTGAAAGGCAATGTGCATTACACCAGATCCACATCGAGGAATGGCCCACCATAATGTCTGGAAAATTATCAGGGTGAGCCTTAGACGCGTTCTGGACACTAACCCCAGAGGAGGTGACAGAGTATGCGCTTGTCAAAGACACCCTGCTGAGATGCTACGCTGTAACCTCAGAGACTTACCGCAGGCAATTTCGTAATACGAAGAAAAAACCAAGCGACACACACAGAGTGGGCTCACCGGTTACGAAGGGCTGCCACTCACTGGATTAATGGGTGCCAGGCAGTAACCGCTGAGGTAATCTTACAATTATTTTTACTAGAACATTTTTATGATGGACTAGAGTATGAAAGGAGGACCTGGCTGAAAGACAACCAACCACCTTGAACGAAGCAGCAAGGATAGCCGATGAACACAAGCTCACGAACGGTGACTCTAACGGAGTTCAGAGAAAATCCCCAAACAACGGCTTGAACCGTTTTCAGAGCAGCTGTACCAGCGGGGCCCACCCAGTACCCGGACAACCCCCAACAACTGATATGATCGTCAACGACAGACTTGTCACTGGTGTAGTCAACCTGGCCACTTCATGGAAAAACTGCCCGCTCAACGCTGACCGTGCTCCTAGGAATTATAACTCCTCCTCGTCTGGGCCCCCTCGACCAGCACGGGCTCGCTGCGTGGACAGAGACACCCATGGAGGAACATCTGGGGCCACTTCATGAAGCAGATCCAGTATATGCAGCCTCTGTCAACCGACAGCAACACAGACAAGAAGTACAGCTCGAGGGCTGCACCGCTCAGAGCCTAAGGGACACAGGTGCTGCAATAACTTTAGTACAAAGTCGCTTGATTCCCGAATACAAATGTTCAGGACAAACTGTGGCCGTTAGAGTAGCCGGAGGGGACGTATACAAGTTACTCACTGCCAAAGTGCACTTCGACTGGGGAGCGGGACAAGGGATTGTGAATGTAGGGATCATGGACAATCTACCAGCAGAGGTCCTGTCAGAAGTGTTTATCATGGCAGCTAGCAATCACATATGTAGTGTCCCCTCTGTAGCGGAGAGCTGGTATTACACAGCCTATCTCCACTTTAGATCCCAGGGAGGTTCAGGAACAAGCAATTATAAATCCATAGGGTAAAGTATCCAGCAGGCAAAATAACACAGCAGTATCCCAACAGCAATCCCAATAACTGGACGACACACAGTTTCAGGAGCAGAACTAAAGATATATTCAGACAGTGGCCTTTTAAAGCTTGCTCCCATGCAAGGGAGGGATTTTCATTCATTAGTACAGTAGCCAATCCTGCTCTGGTAACCTCCCACACATCTCCTCCCCTCAGCCTGCATCATAATCCCCTTATCCAGTACAGCAATTCCCCCTGTTTCTGGTAGCCCTGATCTGGGTGAACAACATATCCAAAAATCACCCAGATCAGACCAGGGGTTCGGGAAATTCATGGAGGGAATAAAATGACCGACCGCACTGGATAGAACAGCCGACTGAGGTTCCATGCGAATGGGCCCTGCGGTCGGTCCTGGAGTCAGGGAATAAACGGCATGAAAGTCTCTAACTACAGAGACTAGGGAGGTTTCGCCTGAATCCCCTCGTTCGGTTCTTTCTATCAACCGAACAAGTAGTTTGGAATCGAACGGACCGGGCTTATGGAGGTCTCAGCGGTGTTCACCTAGTCGAGTGTCCAATTTGAGTTCCAGATACTTGATGGCAAAACACTGCTGTTCGGGAGTTTTAAAATGGCCGCCGCCACGTGTTCGTTTTTCGAATGGCGGCCACCCCCGAGAACAAAGGACGGCTACTCAGCTTGTCAATTACCCGTTCGCAACAATGTTGCAACGGGTAATTGAAGGCACACTTCACACAGGGGAGGTCTGATTGTTCGGTAGTTTCATTCGAACAAAGTAAGGGAATGAAACTACCTAACATTCAGACGAATACAATATATTTAACACATAGTTACTTTACACAAATGCATTCAAATACATGTAATTTCTCAGGACAGCCCAGTGCCATCCGCTACACCCTCTTTTCTCAACTATTTGGTAGGGGCCCTGCCAGAATGCCTGCAGTTTATCTGCCTTAACCGGCTTGAGTACCATCACCTTCTGCCCTATGTGAAAACTACTTTTCCGGGCCCCCCAGTAATACCACACTTTCCGTTGCCTCTGGGCCGTCTAGAGGTTAGCCTGAACCGACCTGGCTAACTGCTCCATACGGTCCCAAAGCTCCAGCACAATAGGGACGCCAGCATTCTGTCTCTCCCTCCCAGTGCTCTCAGATCAAGTCTAGTGGTCCTCATACCTTGCGTCCATAGAGCAGCTCGAAGGGAGGGAACCCAGTCGTTTCCTGGGGCACCTCCCGATAAGCAAACAGGAAGTGCATCAGGAATTGCTCCCAGTCCCTATATTCCTGGGCAAAAGTCTTGAGCATCTGTTTGAGGGTTCTATTGAACCACTCAGAGCCCATTGGTCTGCAGATGGTAGGGGGAAACTGAGCAGGGATTTTATTTTGCAGACATGCCATAGCTGTTGGGTGAGTTCGGCAGTAAACTGAGTGCCTCTGTCGGATAGGATGTCTTTGGGGAATCCTACCCGAGAGAATACCTGAACCAAAGCTGCAGTGTCGGCTTGGATATTAGATAGGGCCATTGCTTCTGGATAGCGGGTCGCATAGTGTAACGATACCTTACCTGGGTCCGCCGATCCCGCGCGGCAAGACAGCTTCCCCGGCTACTTCCGGGAGGCGGCACAGCCTCTCGGACGCTGCCCGCTCGCGGCAAAATCCGTTTTATGACGCGGCGCATGCGCGCCGACGTCATAATGATTTTGCCGCGAAAATTCAAACGCGGCCACGCTCCCGAACCTTTTGGGGGCGTGGCTTTAAAGTGACACACACATTAGTATAAAAGGGCATTCCTGTCCACACCTCAGTGCCCTAGTGTGGTTCTTGATTGTTCCCCTAGTGCTCTTTTACTGTTTTGCTGTTTTCCTGGTATTTTGACTCTTGGCTTTCGTTCTGACTATTCTCCTATCTGGCTCCCTGACTTTTGGCTTGGTTTTTTCGTATATCCCGATTTCCGTACTCCTTTGACCCTCGGCTTTTTCTTGACTATTCTTTGACGTTAAGTCCGGCCACCCTAAGGTCCGGTATACGTCCCTTTCAGGGTTACCATCTGTGTGAAGGGGTCACTATCGTGACACATAGTCCACCACAGTAAGAATATACCTTTTCCCGGATGGACTAAGGGTAGCTAGTGGCCCCACTAAGTCTTTGGCGTCTACCCTGCTGAATGGCTACTCTATGGTGTGCATATTCACCAGGTGCGCCTTGGGGTGATCTCCTCTCCTCCCTACACGCTGACAGGTATCGCATGTGTTGCAATACGCTCTCACATCAGCATGTACCCCAGGCCAGAAGAAAGTATGAGTTATGCGGTGCAATGTATAATAATAATAATAATAATAATAATAATAATAGCAGAATAACACATCCAGCTTTGTCGTGTGCTTAAAATGTATGTACATATGCACATCAAGCCTTCCAACTGTACCAATTTAGGCGATAACATTGTTGAATAAGGGATCCTGTCCTGTGCTAGATGACTGGCTAAGGGGATATCGTGCCCTACTCAAGATTTCCCATCTATATTTGTGAGGTATTACCAGTTGGCGCTTTCTGTGGTCCTTCTTTTCTGTCAGCCTGTACAATTTATTATGTTCCCATACAAAGGTCTCATTATCTAGCCCCCCTGCCCCAGTCTATGCCTTTTCTCTGTACTTTTGTAGAGTCGGGTCTGCCCTAGTTTCTGCTCCAAATGCTTCAGATGTATACCATGGGACGGGGTCTTGGGGGCAACAGGACCTCCGCTGGTCCAAGTACAAGATAGATCTATGGCACAATTAATTTTACATTTAAGATCAGAGTAGCTGAATGGAAAACAAAGCTGACTTACTAAATCTAGTTTGGCTATTTTGAAATCAAATTAGAAATTTACTTTGAATTCACTTTCTCACTTTAATAAATACCGGGTAACTCTGAATAATTTTTTTATTTTTTTTTCAGAAATTGATTGTGATCAATGTCCTCTAAGTTATACCTGTTTATCAATAATTGTAAGTAGTCAATTCATAAATCAGATTTACTTCTTGACAATATGCAGAATTCAGATAAAAATAGCACAGGACAGGATCCCTTATTCAACAATGTTATCGCCTAAATTGGTACAGTTGGAAGGCTTAATGTGCCTATGTACATACATTTTAAGCACACAACAAAGCGGGATGTGTTATTCTGCTATTATTATTAATTTTTATAAAGTACCAACAAATCCTGCAGCACTGAACAAAAGTGGACTAACAGACTAATATTTTCAACAAGACACACAGAAACAGTGGCGTGGGTATTGAGGGCCCTGCTCAAACAAGCTCACATTGTATGGGACAGTTTATGTTAATGAGGTAAGTAATAATGAGATAACCACAAGAAGGAAGTACTGGTATATGTGTGAAAAGCAAATCTGGGGTCTGTGAAGCAGGCATATGTAATGTACACAGTTTCAATCTTGAGAAAAGTCAATTGCTGTACACTTGCAAAGAATGTTTGAAACTGGCATTTTCACAGGCTTTTGAATAGAACTATCATCAGTGTGCTAGACTTAATAAATCTGTCTCAAAATTCTAGAGATAATGGCCACTAACAAAGCAATGCATGCACTCCAACAAGGTATCAAAAAAGATAAATGTCTTACATTCATGGGGACAGAAACCATATTTCCCATCGGATTCAAAATTGTAAGTAGTAGAACACCAAAGAAAACCATCACTGCGTCCAGCATCTGTGCAGCTGTTATATTCTTTGCCATTGAAAAGAAATGGAAATTTACAGAACTCTCCATCTGCATTCCCATACTTAACTTTCACAACTGGAAGAAAAAAGAAGCACAGAAAAACACAGGATTATAAAAATGATAATCTGTATAATAATTTATTTATACACACACACACATACTATGATTTATTTATATAAAAAAAAAAATGCAGCCATGTTTCCAGGGCATTATTGCAATCCATATAAGCACAACATATGCAGGGTTATTAACCCCTTAAGGACTGGACTGTTTTTGCGATGTTGTACATTTGCGACCAGGCATATTTTTACACTTTTGTGGTGTTTGTGTTTGGCTGTAATTTTCCGCTTTCTCATTTACTGTTCCCATACAAATTATATATTGTTTTTCAGGACAAAATGGGCTTTCTTTACATACCATTATTTATATAATCTCATGTATTTTAATTTAAAAAAAATAAAAAAATATGATGAAAAATTGAAAAAATACATGTTTTTTTACTTTTACTTGAAAAATCTTTTACTCATCTACAAAAGCGAATGAAAAAACTGCTAAATAGATTCAAAATTTTGTCCTGAGTTTAAAAATACCCAGTGTTTACGTGCTTTTTTTTGCATGTTATAGGGCTATAGGTACAAGTAGGATATTGCGGTTTCAAAACATACATTTTTAAAATTTATCAATAGTGACATTGTAACACTATTATCTGTCATAAATCTCTGAATAACACCCCACATGTACATATTTTTTTTAAAGTAGACAACCCAGGGTATTCAATATGGGGTATGTCCAGTCTTTTTTAGTAGCCACTTAGTCGAAAACACTGGCCAAAGTAAGCATTCATATTTGTTTGTGTGTGAAAAAAGTAAAAAAACTAAATTGAACGCTAATTTTGGCCAGTGTTTGTGACCAAGTGGTTACTAAAAAAGACTGGACATACCCCATTTGTAATACCTTGGGTTGTCTTCTTTTGCAAATGGTATGCCATCATGGGGTAATTCTCATTCCTGGGCTACCATACGCTCTCAAAGGCAACGTAACCAACCTGGCCATTTTCAATGTAAAAATATTTGACCCATATATTTGACCTTGTAACTTTCAAAAATGCTATAAAACCTGTACATGGGGGGTACTGTTTTACTCAGGAGACATCGCTGAACACAAATATTAGTGTTTAAAAACTGGAAACGTATCACAACAATTATATCATCAGTAAAAGTGCTGTTTGTGTGTGAAAAATGCAAAAAAGTAACTTTCACTGACAATATCATCGCTGTGATATGTTTTACTGTTGTGAATCACTAATATTTGTGTTCAGCGAAGTCTCCCGAGTAAAACAGTACCCCCCATGTACAGGTTTTAGGGTGTCGTAGAACGTTACAGGGTAAAATACAGTGCTAGCAAATTCAATTCTCTGGAATTTCGGCCTGGGTTGGCAGGCAGGTCCCTTAAATTGCAATCAATAAAATGACTGAATTATGTAAAACTATTACATAAATACGCACGTAGAATTTAAATATATATGCATATTTATATATCTGAAGTCTACGTGTATATTTATATAATTATTTATGTAATTTTGTATATGGACTTATGTATATTTCTTATTATTTTTATTTATTTTTATATACATAGATATATATATACAAATTCATTCTAAGTGTATTTTGATATAAATATATATATATTAATTTTAAAATACAGTTAGAATAAAATTTCATATAGCTATATAATTTTTTTTTTAATTTTTTATTATTATTTTAAAAAATTTTTATTTAATTTAAATTACTTATTATTTATATTTTATAATATATATATACAATATATATAGTTATTATATATATTATATATATACGTGTGTAATTTAATTATAAGTGTATTTTTACATTAATATAAGTACATATTAATATAAAAATACACTTAGTATGACATTATATATATATGATATATAGACATATATTATATAGATATAATATATGTCTATATATCATATATACACATATATAATTATTTTATTTTTTTTAATTAACACTAACTTTATTTTTTTTCTTCTGATTTTACACAAGCAGGGAGACTGCCTGTCAGCACAGACAGTCCCCCTGCAGGCAGACACATGGACACCTATTGTGACCATGTGATCGCTGTGTTAAGCGATCACATGGCCACAGGGGTCCTAATCTGCCGTGGGGAGACTGTCTGGGCTGCAGGCAGTCTCCCCACAACCGGAGCCACGCTGATCGCCGCCGGGGGAACGACGGCGATCAGGTAAGTAGCTCTGACCGTTAGGACGGTTCAGGACCGTCATCGGTCGGCAACGCAAAAATGCCGATGACGGTCCTGAACCGCCCTCGGTCCTTAAGGGGTTAACTAAAGGCCAAGTGGCCCTGAACCGAATAGGGAAAACAGGGCCATTCAGACTGCAAAATTTGGACATTGTTAATGGAACAGGGGTAGATTTGGTCTGGATTTCAACCAAGCCAAACTCAATCGGATGACTGAAATCCAGGCTGAATGTTGAAAATCAATGAGGTAGCAGCACAAGCAGCCAGCAGACAAGTAGTGAAAAAAACAAAAAAACAGCAGGGTTAATTATGTAGTGGCTGGCCAGTGCTTTCTAGCTAGCCAGTGCTTCCTAGCCAACCACCATATTAAAATAGCCAGCAGGAAATTGTGAAAAAAAAAAAAAGAAAAATGTTTTGCAATATGAAAAGAGCACGCTGATTGGTTTACTAGTAAACCAACCAGAGAGCTCTGACACCCAAGGTTTGAGATAAGTGAGATTTGGTTGCCAGAGGACTCTTATTGGCTGTATTCGAATCAGAGTGCTAGTTTTCATACTGCAAAGCTTGGGAAATTCTTTTGAAGACTTAGAGGAAGAATTAGAAGGAAAAAAAAAGACTTTTGGTGGTATCATTTTTTTTTTAATTTTTTTTTTTGTACAGGTTTTAAATCTTTTTGCCCTCCCACCCTTATTATTTGGGTGAGGGTTGGTAGGTAGTGACTTAATTTTAGAAGGTGGATAAGGGATTAAGGACCCCTAGACACCAGCGGTGGGAAATGACTATTATTTGGAGAGTTTGACAATGACCCATTCCATTCAACATGTTCCCTTGGTTATTTTACAGTTGGCCGCCCAATTATACATTTGCAAGAAAAAGTATGTGAACCCTTTGGAATGATATGGATTTCTGCACAAATTGGTCATAAAATGTGATCTGATCATCATCAAAGTCACAACAATAGACATTCACAGTCTGTTTAAACTAATAACACACAAAGAATGAAATGTTGCCATGTTTTTATTGAACACACCATGTAAACATTCACCGTGCAGATGGAAAAAGTATGTGAATCCTTGGATTTAATAACTGGTTGAACCTCCTTTGGCAGCAATAACTTCAACCAAACGTTTCCTGTAGTTGCAGATCAGACGTGCACAACGGTCAGGAGTAATTCTTGACCATTCCTCTTTACAGAACTGTTTCAGTTCAGCAATATTCTTGGAATGTCTGGTGTGAATCGCTTTCTTGAAGTCATGCCACAGCATCTCAATCGGGTTGAGGTTAGGACTCTGACTGGGCCATTTCAGAAGGCGTATTTTTTTTTTTTTTGACAATCTTTATTTATGTATTCAGTTTTTCAGCTTTTCAATTTTAACAGGTAAAAGGTGAGGTTTACAGAAGGAAAAGAGGGTGGGATGTCATACAGTCATTTGGAGTGTACAAATGCAGTGGTAAACATCCATAGTTGCATAGCATTACTTATTTCCGTGTTTACAGATCACACGTTAGTTGAGAGCTGGGGGGTATGCCTGTTATCTATTGCAATTCAACCTATTCGGTATATGTGAGTGTCCTATGGCTTTCATATTTTCATAACCCCAACCATTTGGGACTTCTTGCAGCCCAGGGCGTGATATTCGCGAGAAGGGTGTGGGTCCCTGCCTGGGGCGGGTAATCAGAGGCTATATGTGTGGGTGAGTCTGCTTGTGGCGGAACTTCCTGGCAGATGTTTGTTTAGGGTTTTTCAGATGCTGTGGATGGGGTAACCTGACCCGCCCCACCTGTGTCCAGGTGCACGTACCCTGTAAGGTATGTCCTTTTCTGTGGTTGTGGGAGCATGAGTATGAGATGTCCCGTGGGTGCGCGTGCCCTGCGGGGGTATTGCCTGTGTGTTGTTGGGTTGCTTCTGGAGCTGAAAGTGGTGGGGTCTATTGTGTGGTAAACCTTGCTTATGGGCCATTTGATTTGCAGGCTTTTAGGGTTTCTTGTGTGTATCTGTCCCTTGATATCGTTTTTGTGGGTTCTATCTACTGTCACTCTATGGTTCCGTGTTTGGTAAGGTATTTCTGTACATGTTCTCTTGGATTGAATGTCTTAGTCTAGTATGTGGTGTGGGGTGGTCTAGTCAGGGAGTAGTCAAGAAGGTGGAGGGGTTATATGGGGTGGGATGGCGGGAGCAGTCTAGCTGGGAAAAAGAGGAAGCAGGATTAGGAGCAAGGAGGAAGATGGGTTAATTTCCTTATCGGAGTGTAGTTTTTCATGAGGCTGAGCCTGCTGCCGCGGTGTATAGGATCCAGGGGGTCCAGGTTAGATAGCATTTCTCTGAGTGGCCCTCCATGGTATGTATTTCTCCCACTCTATCCATCCATTGTTGGAAGGTGGGGGCGGACGGTCTTTTCCACAGGGTGGGTATCAGTGATTTAGCTGCAGTCAATAGGTGTCGAGTGAGGGATTTTTTGTAGGTTTTCAGTGAAATGCTGGTGTGATGTAGTAGCATGGGGAGTGGTTGGAGCGGGAGCTCCGGGTCCGATATTTCCCGTATTTTGGTGTTTACCATCTCCCAGAAGGGGGCGATGGCTGGGCAGGTCCACCATATGTGGATCATGGTGCCTCTCTCTCTGCTCCGCATCTCCAGCATTTCTCGTCATTGTCTGGGTTCATGCGATGTAGTGTGTCAGGGGTTTGGTACCAGGTAGTTAGTAGCTTATAGCTCATCTCCTGAAATTTTGAGCTAATAGAACTTTTGTGTGTGAGTAGGAATATTTTATCCCATTCACGGGCTTCCAGTACCTCCCCTCTCACTCTCTCCCATCTGGCGATGTATTTCGGTGGTGGTCTATTCTCACCCTCCAAAAGCAGTGTGTATAGCGTCGAGATCCCTCTCTCGATGTGTTGCCTACTGATGCATATTTTTTCAAAATATGTGGGGTCTCGATGGAATTGTTTGGCTGTTGCGGAATTGTAGAAGGATTTGACCTGGTGATATCGGAACCGGTCGAGCATCGTTGGGGCAGTATCTGGGATTAGTTCGGGTAGGGTTTTTAGGGTGCCGTTGTTGCACCATTGGCGTATATAGGACCAATCTGACCGGCCAAAGTTTTTTAGGTCTGCTGGTGTCAGTCCTCCTCCGATGTCTGGGTTATGGGTGAGGGGTGTGAGTGGGCTGCTATGTGTTGTCAGCTGTTGAGGGAATCGGAGTGCGCACCATACCTTTAGGGTTGCGTCTATCAAAGGATTGCCAGTGCTGAGGGTGTTCGTTGTAATTCCCGTCCTCCATAGTTCCGAGGGTATTTTCCCCTTGGCCTGAGCTAATTCTGCCCGCACCCATAGTTTCTCCGTCCGATGTGAGTGCCAGTCAGTGACCCTCAGCAGATGGGATGCTCGGTAGTAGCCGATGATCAAGGGGAGTCCCGCTCCCCCCTGCAATTTGGGTAGCTCCAATTGGAGCCTGCTGATTCTTGGTGCTCCTCTTTTCCATAGTGTTGAATCGCGGTGGAAATGGTGTGGATAAAAACCAGAAGGATGGTGATCGGGATTGTCTGGAAAAGGTACAGAATGCGCGAGAGGATATTCATTTTTATTGTGTTAATACGACCGAACCACAAAATGTAGAGGTCTGTCCATTTGGTCATGTCAGCCTGTAAGGAGGCGAGGAATGGGGCAAAATTAGCCTGGTAGAGATGTGAGAGTTCTTTGGTCAGGCAAATGCCGAGATATTTCAATTTGGTACCGCACCAAGAGCGGCTGGGACCGCGATGTTCATGGCCTCCGACTTGTTAGTGTTGAGTTTCAGGTTCGAGATCATCCCGAATTGTTGGAATAGGCCTAGTGTGTTTAGGATGGTAAGCAGGGGTTGTTCCAGGAAGAAGAGCAGGTCGTCGGCATATGCCGCCACCCGGTGTTCCACGTTCCCTATTGTGTGTCCTGTGATTCCCCCATCCATCCTGACCGCCTCCAGGAACGGTTCCAGGGAGAGGGCGAACAGCAGGGGGGACAGGGGGCACCCCTGTCGTGTGCCATTTCGTATGGGGATTGGCTCTGAAAGGGCACCATTGACTCGTATTCAAGCCGTGGGCGTCGTGTAGAGTGCCGCTATCCAGGCTTGGGTATTGGGTCCGAGTCCCATGTGTTGTAGGGTAGCTGCTAGGTAGGACCAGTCCACTCGGTCGAAGGCCTTTTCAGCATCCGTGGAGAGGAGGGTTAGACGCCAACCCTGCCTTCGAGCCGAGTGGATAATGTTGAGGGCCCGTATGGTGGTGTCCCGTGATTCTCTGCCTGGGATGAAGCCCACCTGGTCTGGGTGGACCAGTGAGGGAAGCACCCCAGCGAGGTGGAGGGCCATGGCCTTCGCGAACAACTTTAGGTCTGCATTCAAGAGGGAAATGGGGCGGTAACTCGCACAGCAGGGTGGATCTTTTCCCTCTTTAGGCAAGACCGTTACCACGGCCCGGAGTGTGTCCACCGGGAACTGTCCACCCTTTAGCAGCGAGTTCAGGCCTGTCAACAAGTGTGGCAGCAAAAGGTCTCTATATGTGCAGAGGTAGCTCGCCGGGAGACAATCTGGACCCGGCGCCCTATTTGATTTGGTTAGCTTAAGCGCCGCGGTTAGTTCCTCCAGGGACAGGGGTTGTTCCATATTCGCGGCTTGGTCAGGGGTAAGTTTCCGGGTGACGTGTTTTTGAGGATGTCTGTTAGCTTGTGTTTGTGTTGTGAAGGGGAAAGTGCGCTAGGCGTATAGGCCAGGTTATATAGGCTTGTGTAATATTCCCTGAATGCCTGTAGGATCTCTGCTGGTAATCTCGTTTCCTTTTAGCCATGAGCTTTTATTTTGTGAATGTGGGTTTGCCTCCGTCTCTGCTGCAAAGTCCAGGCCAGCAGTCTACCGCATTTATTTGAGTATTCATAAAAATAGCGGTGGGATCTGCATACCACTTTAAGCAGCTTCTGCGAGAGTATGTCCCTAAGCTGTCGCCTCGTGTTGGTCAGTTGGAGGTAGATGTCTTCTGTCAAATCCCTTTTATGGGTGGTTTCGAGTTCGGTTATCCGTTTAGTCAATTCCAGGATGCGTCTGGTGTTCTCCCGTTTGCGCTGCGTGCAAAGATTTATGTAGTGCCCCCTAACTACACATTTGTGCGCCTCCCAGGTTGTCAGTATGGATACGTCTGGGGTAGTGTTTGTTTCAAAATATTGGGTAAGGACCTGTGTGGTCAGCCTAGAGCATTCTGTATCTGATAGTATGGTTTCGTTTAATCGCCAATGGCGCTCCTACGGCTTGAAGAGGGGTGATTGAATCTGGATGGACACAGGAGCGTGGTCAGAGTCTCCTTGGATTCCAATGTCTGCGGTAATGAGCAGGGGGAGGAACTCTTGCGCAATAAAAATGTAATCTATCCTGCTGTATTGATTGTGGGGGGCGGAGTAGCAGGTATAAGCTCTGCTGTCAGGGTGTGCCGCCCACCAGCAGTCAGACAGGCCTAGTCTATTGAGTGTTTGTTTGGTCCTGCATATGCAGTGGTCTGGGATGGAGCTGTTACCCCTTGACGTGTCTACTTGAGGGTCCAGAGGGGTGTTCAAGTCACCCGCTAATATCAGTAAGCCTTCCTTGAATTTTTCTAAGCAGGTCAGTGCCTTAGCCAGGAATGTGTGTTGACCCCGGTTGGGGCAGTACACATTAGCTAGGGTATATGGGCGTTCCGATATGGTTCCTTTTATGAAGAGATACCATCCCAGTGGGTCTACCTGTGTGGCGGTGCATTGGAAGGGCACTGTCCCTGCGAAGAGGATTGCCACACCTGATCTTTTGGAGTCCTGGTGGTTCGCGAAAAAGCCCTGGGGGAATCTTTTATCATGTAGTGTGGGGGCTGACCCATCTTTAAAGTGGGTCTCCTGCAGAAATGTCACGGAGATCTTCTGGGACCACAGTGTCCGTAGAATTGTGTGCGCATCTCGGGAATGTTTAGGCCTCTTATGTTGTTGGACCAGAACCGAAGCCGGGCAGGTTGGAATTTTCGAGACATTGCAGCAGAGGTGGGTCAGGCTGGGGGGGGGGAGGGGGCGGTGGGGATGAGGGGAAGGGGGGGGAGAGAAGTTAGATATAATAGGTGGTGAGAGGAGAGATGGGGACGGGCGTGGTCTATGAGCGAGTCTGTCGGTGACAGTCGGTATGTGGGGGGGAGGGATGGTATGGTCAGGGGTAATCAGACAACAATGACCCAAGATCGGTTGTATGCTCCAGGGGACGTCCGGTCCGTCTATGGTTGGTGGGACCCCTGGGCCTGATCTAATTTACAAGCCAAGTCAGTTGTGTGGGGTCGTAGTAACTAGGTGGAGTTAAATCATTATGGGGAAATTGAGGCTACTGCTTGTGTCCGGCTCAAGTGAGTTGCTCGGGTTACCTGAGCCTGGGGGGCCATTAATTCAAGAACGCATCGCAGCCATGAGCTGCGGACCCTTTGTGTACAGATCAGATAATTAAGCAACAGAGAAAAAAAAACACATGTAACTTGAACATTATAGTATAACCTTGGCAAAACTAAGTATACTATTAAACAGCAGGAGACAGGCCGGTCCCGCCCCAAGGTCCCACAACGGGCCTCGCCTACCTCTGTAGTCCCCCCCCGCGGGTGTCAGCTCCCCCCTGGTATGTCTGTGATGCCCACCTAGGTTCTCCCCTCCCCGTTGGGTCTGTGTCTCAGGTCTCAGTTGCCCAGTTAATGCCTCAGTTTATCAGTCCCACTTATTCCCTATCTCGAGGCCTGGTGTGGTACCCCCCCTATATTCATGGGCTAGGTGTCAGAGGCTCGTGGTGCCTATCTTGTTGGCTATGTGGAGTGTGGTGTCGCCTCCTCCCCCCCACCCCAAACAGGCATCCGGGCCCATTCCCCGCCAACTCTCTCTGGTGTCCCCCAAGTCCGCTAGTCCCACTAACTTCCCTCCTGCGCCTGAGCAATACCAGTTAGGGGCACGCGGATATTATTACGGCGGCCGCGGTTGTCCAGGTCTTCGACCTGTCTCCTTAGATCTAGGAGAAAGGTACCCTGCCTTGAGGTAGCATTGTCAGCTGCTTTGGAGTGTTGAGAGGCCAGCATACAATCGGCTTCTTGCTCAGTGACCCGCTGCTCCAGGGCGGTTAGGTTATTTCTCACCTCTTGAATCTCTTCTCTGATAGCAGAGCGCATTTCCTGCACCAGGGTCACCTTGTCTGCCTTTGTCAGCATGTTAGAGGCTATGGCTGCTAGCTCTGCAGATATCTGGGTTAGGGTGTCTGCTTGCGTGGAACCTGCTATGGATCCGGCCGTGCTGCTTGTGCCAGGTGAGTCCGGCGCCATTTTGCCCGACGGCCGCGTGTGTCTGAGGCCGTCGAGTGTGGACAGAAACTCGTCCATTGGGCTCGCCTGCCGTTTCGGCGATGCCATGTCCGGGGGTCAGCTGACGCCGTGATTTCCCCATTGTGGCTGCCGGTACGCTGTGAAAAGGGGCTTTTGAGCCAGGGACCGCAGAGCCTGGCTTACTTGCGACTTACTCCAGCGCCGGTCGGCCATGCCCCCACGTATTTTCTTCTGTTTAAGCCATTCTTTTGTTGATTTACTTCTATGCTTTGGGTCATTGTCCTGTTACAACACCCATCTTCTGTTGAGCTTCAGCTGGTAGACAGATGGACTTAAGTTCTCCTGCAAAATGTCTTGATAAACTTGGGAATTCAATCACAGGCTTCTCTATGAGAAGTGCATGCAACTGCTCATAGGCATTAGAGTCATGAAATGTAACGGACACCACTGTTATTCTGTTTTGATGCCCCTCCACCACTCTGAATAATAAACATTCCATCAACAGAAGCATTTTTGGATTGACTGGCCCTTTTTCCGCATTCAAGCCAATAAGCTGGACTGAGTCTAAAGGCAATTAATGCAAGGAACTTCTAGGACTTTAGCCCCTAAAGCTCCCCTCCAGAAGCGAAATCTAGGATTTCTTCCAAACCTAGAACTCTTACTGCTACACCACTTCACAGCATGGTACGAATTGGCGGGTAAAAGGCAGACCTAGACAGACTATACCTCTACTCAGAAAATATATTATTATAAGGTAAATAGAACTTCTGTGTGCAAATATCACCTTTTCTGTTTTTAATTCTATCACATTTTAAGTGTATCTGGTGACAAAACACTTGGGTGATTTAGCAGCACCAGTTTGTATACCTTAAGGCGCCACTTCCTCCTCCTTGTTTGGATTGTTTAAGAGGGTTTATAGTGCCATTAAGCAATACTGACTGCCCTTTGCATATCCCATTCTTGGTGCTTTGAAATATGTAAAGCTGTGCATGATGAGATTAGGTAAAATTGATTTTTCACAAAGAATGCTACAGAAAGTAGAGTTCATTAAGATTGTTTTAATTTAACAGATGACTTCATTCCAAGAATTCAGTGGTCTTTGAAGGTTTCCTTTAAGACCTCACTTCCACACAGAGACAGTGGGGAAGACAAGTCATTGTGTCTGTAACAGCCTCTCTATTTCTGCAGGCAGCCCTACATAAATATCGGAAATTAAAAGGATGAGTTTGAAGGAAGTAAACAAAATACAGTGGACTAAAAGGAGAGGGTTGGGGTCCCGGGGGACTTTGAAACAGTTTGGTGAGGAATGTTATATATTATTACTTACCCTGGCCTTCCCCTAAAGTCCATAACTCATCATCATCAAAATGAGAATCCCCCCCAACACCTGATCCAGGTGCAAATGCATGTGCCAAGAGACCATCTTTTCCATCGAAGGGATATCCATCTCCATGTTCTGGGGAAAAAAATAGTATGCATCAGACAAATCCTAAGCATTACTGTTATGAGCCATAAAGAAAGTAAAGATATTGGAATACCCCAACGTCCAAAATTTATCATGATATCTGCTTCTCCCTCATTAAGTCGTGTGAACTTCAAAGGTGTGACATCACTCCAGACTTGAAGGGCTCGAGTAAATGCATCATCTACAGTTTCAGAATCCAGATCTGTTGTGTACCCTAGAATCCTAGGAGGAAACAACATTCTTAAATTAAAAACAAAAACTAGCTGTAAGCAGCACTATAAATCAAGCGTGGATAAAGCACATAAGCACATTTGTTGGTAGTAAAATAAATAGCAAACATATGAATTTTAGAGACCTATTTAAAGATTTTCATAATTGGTGACAATCTAATATGGCCAACAATCTACAGAATGTAGTATGTTGAAGATGGCAGAGCACAACATAGACATTGATGACAGCAGTCATTCTAAAGAGTTATTGTCCAGCAGTTTTGACTATTTAAACCAGTTGATTGATTACCCAGTTAACTGTCCAAGTATAAGAGCATGAAGGCAGCAAATGACAAAGATTTGAAAAATGTTTGTGTTTCTTTAAAAGACTGAAAAAACAGGAACAGATACCTATTCACCATCTGGATTGTAATGTTGATCACCTTGAATCTTTTGGAACAAGGCTCACCTTATCAAAATGTTCTAGACCTTCCCCCACAACTTAACCAAACTAAACTTCTAGAATTCTCTGGTCAGAAATATTTATCAGCAAGCAATGCTTTGTGTGAGCCATATTGGACTTGTGTATTCTGTTTCAGCCAAATTGTGATTTAGCTAAACTTTGGTTAATTGATGTTTTGCCGAATTCTGTATGACTGAATTGCCATGTGGACAGCAAGGAAATGGCTCGACGATAGTCTAGTGTTGTGACGGTATCCTCTGCCACCAATGATAAAACACCTGCATGTCACAACACAAAGGGTTGTGCTAATATATCATGCCAAAGCAATATTTGGGATTACTTTGAAAGCTTTCAGGAAGGAAGAATAGCATAGTGAAAGGAAATATTTAGGGGGATTGTGAGGGGTCATCTCACTAGTGCTGGTATGAACCAACATATGCAAAGACACCAGTGTGTATTACTGAGGTAAGAAGCAGAAATATAAAGTCCTGTATCTGATTCTGTAAAACCAACAACTATAAGCAGTACGTCTTCCACTATGTAGCCAGGAGCAGGAGCAATGTTGAGCACTGTGCCACTGTGAAAGGGACAGGCAACTCTCAGTCCTCATCCCAGAGATGTGTCTACTAGCCCACTCTTGAACATTTTGTTAGCACTTCAAAACAGCAGCCTAACAAAATCATCCACCTGACTTCCTAGCTAATCACTTTTGTTTTTGCCCCCATTTTTCATGAGCTGAACTCAAAGACCTATTTCTCTCAAATATTGTTCATAAATCTGTCTAAATCTATGTTAATGAGCACTTCTCCTTTGCCAAAATAATCCATCCACCTCACAGGTGTGGCGTACCAAGATGCTGACTAGACCAATATGTGGCTGCACTTTCAGCTATGATCATACCCCTCTTGCCCTCCCCAAGATGTCCGATATTCAGATTCAGTGATGTGAATATCTGACATCTTGGGGAGGGCAAGAGGGGTATAATCATAGCCGAAAGTGCGGCCACATTTTGGTTGGCACGATACTTCCGTTATGACCATATATGGATGTGGGTGGTATTTTGAAACATTTGTTTCGAATTGTATACTTAGATTGATTCTTTCTTTTAGTATATAAGAGCCCACAAGCTCATTTGAAATTATATGCACTTGAGAAAGACGTAATGTAAAGGTTGAAACGCATTGTGCTATTTTTCTGTTAGCTTTTATTTGTTCACAAATTAACTTTTGTTTTTAACAAATTGTTTAATAAAAACCTTTTATTTATTATCTGCCCTGGACTTTGGATCTTGCTGAAACATATCAGTATCGAGTTCTTGAGGGTATATTTGCTGTACTTTTGTTTTATATCTCACAGATTAGATGAAAAGCACCATAAGTCTGGAGCCAACTTTTAATAGGCTCTGAAAATTGTGAGTTTTAAGAAATATTTAATTTTCAATACTATTTCTTACATACAGTTTACACTATTTGTGTTTTAATTTATTTAAATATAGGTTTTTAAGAACTACCTGTATTGTGGTTACCTGAAAAATAAGTGTAAGGTAAATCCAACATTTTACTTCTGTGTGCGCAAATCACCTTTTTTCTTAATTAAGTGAAAGTGGCAGTGGCCATGTGTACACCTTCCATGTATACAAAGGTTGCCCAGATATAGTAGGGACAAGTGGGAAAATTGCCTGGGACTTAATAACGTCATTACTCAACAAAGGTTATCACTTGTATATTGATAATTTTTATAATAGCATCTCACTTCTAAAAATGCTGTACTGCTTCAAGACCGTGGCCTGTGGCACTATTCGGAAGATTCGCACAGGTTTCCCAAAGGCTCTAGCGGGGAAAAAAATAAAAAGGGGGGAAACCGCAGCTCTCTGCCAGAATAAACTGCTGGCACTCAAGTACCGAGATAGAAAGGAGGTTTTCATCCTAACCACCATTCATGGTGAGAGCACTCGCAGGGTCGCAGTACGTGGCAGAGAGGAATTTAAACAGGTGCCAGTCTGCATACAGCATTACAATCGGCATATGGGGGTATTGACCTGTCCGATCAACTGATGCAGCCGTATTTGATCATGCAAAAGACCAGAGCATGGTATAAAAAAGTGGGCATGTAAATAATGCAGACCGCAATCCACAATGCCTTTGTAATTTTAAAAAAGGCAAATGCTGAGCTGAAGTGCACATTTCTTTCATTTCAGTTTCAGCTCATTTCTGGGTTGCTTGAGTGCCACAGAGAGGGACCATCAGTGGAGCCTAGAAGAAGAATGGAGGCAGGTCACTTCTGCTTCACGATTCCATCAAACCCCAAAAAGAAACCCCCCCCGCCCGAAAAGGTGCAGGGTGTGTTACAAGAGGGGCGTAAGAGCAGAGACCAGTTATTACTACCCTGATTGCCCCTCTCAGCCCGGCCTATGTATTGGCCACTGTTTTAAAATGTTCCACACCCAGGCCAAATAAGTAGACCAGTTTTGGGGTGTGGTTTTAGTAATCTCTCTGGTTACTGAATCTTGGCTTTGTCTCGCGTTTATCCTGTCTTCTCTGATCCTTGACCTCGGCTTGTCCTATCGTTGTTCCGTTTCTCTTTACTCCTTTGACCTCGCCTTGTACCTTAACTGTTTTGTGCTTGTATAGCCCAGCCATTTTAAGGACCGGTATTACAAGTTTCTCTCTTTGTGGTCTGTCTATGTTTTGGTTTCGGAATCCATGACTGGGTACTACCACCTGATAAGTTTATGCCAACTATTCCCCCTTTCACAGCAAACCGTATGCAAGTGTTCATAATTTTAATTGATGAGCTGCTTATATTTAAAAATAAATGTGGCCTTTGAGAGGTAATTTGCAATCCTGAGCTGCTAAAATGAGACTTGGGCCTAGCATCCACTTTTGAAAAATATGAAAGTGGTGTGTCTCCAATCTGCCCCTTCAACATCCACATATCCCCGAGAAAGGTACACATGGGGGTATTGTTGTACGACATAGCTGAGCAACATATTAGGTGTTATACTGCCATAGCACACATAAGGATTGCAAATGTACAGTAACGTGTGTGTCAAAAAGGCAGAAAAAATGCTAATTGCTACTAGACTTGGTACAAATTAACAAAAAAAATGACCCTACGCTAGGGTTTAAAATCTGCCTTTTGAAATACCATTGGGTGTCTACTTTAAGAAATGGTAGGCCTTTGTGTTTTTTTTTTTTGTTTTTTTTTTGGGGGTTTAAACAGTCAAACTGCTATAATATGTACACCAAAGAAAAAAGACAAGTAATAAAGGGCGCTCAATACAAGAAAATCGTGAGAAAAACGTTTAAACCTATGAAGCAGCTCCCTTATAAAGTGCAATAGCCCATAAAACACTAAAAATACAGTAATACAGAAAAAAGGGTGCGCTATGTCTTTAAGACAAAAAATGTGCAATATTCCTTTAAGAACACTCAGGTGCTTAAACCAATACACAGCCTCTATTTTATAAGTGTGTTGCTATTACATACACTAATGAATGAATAATTGAGTGAAGATTCTCGTTTGAGTATTAAGTGATTACATTTGTAACCAATAATGAGGACTTAATAGGTGAATGCACGCCTATGAGAACGGACTTAAAAGCAAGGCAGCAGCAGGATGGAAGTGTGATCTGAGGAAGCCGATTCTGTGGCGAAACGCGTCATCACGCACGTCCCGTGGTTACGTCATTAGGCTCCGCCTCCAGGAAGTGTCTGCGGTACAGTGCTAGCCGGCAGCGAAACCGTATGCAGTCCATTCCAGAGAAGGACTGAGGGAGCAAAGTGACACCACTTGGGTGACTTTTAAAATTGTGAAGATTTACTGAAAATAAAAGCGGATAAAGTTAGAGCAGACTTCTCTGCTCTCCACTTGTGAGTTTAATAATATATATTGTTTCCACAGCACAATTTGTAATACTGTTACACTATGTATCTCTCTTTGTTTTTTATACACATGTACATATAAATTGGAGCAACCAGATCCAAGGTATATACAGCGGGGTATTTTAAGTGCTCCGGTTTTCTACTTATTCTCTATATATATTTTTTCACTATAACACTGGTATATCAGTGGCATTTGCACTTTTGCACCTGTTTGCACTTACATTAGTGTATGTAATAGCAACACACTTATAAAATAGAGGCTGTCTATTGGTTTAAGCACCTGAGTGTTCTTAAAGGAATATTGCACATTTTTTTGTCTTAAAGACATAGCGCACCCTTTTTTTCTTTAAAACTGCTATAATACCCCAAATTGAAACATGGGCCCATCAAATCCACCTCTCAAAATTATACTGTAAATTCTGAAATGGACAGGACTCCTATATGGCACTGTAGCTTCGCGAAATAGTGCCAAAGACATTCATTGGGGGTATCATTTTACTCAGAAGACTTAGCTGAGTATAATTTGGGGGCTTTGAACTTAGTGGCACATATGAAATATACTAAATGCCCAGCAAAAATGTAATCCATATGTAAAAAATGGCCAAAGTTATTTTTGCCACATACTTTGGCATATATTGGTGAAAAAATGGTGGCATGTTAAGGCACAAAATGCACCATATGAA